AGGCAGTCACAATAAAACAGGAAGTTGTATAATAGTGTCTGGGTGTGGTCTAGAGAGAGGAATTGGTGGCTGAAGTGCAGGTGCACGTGGTAGATTGTTAGAAACCAAGGCACTGCAAGGCTGTGCTTGAAAATACTCAGGGTGGCAGAGTCTGAAATGAAAACTGGAAAGTTGGAGGCCTCTATGACTCTTGCTTAGACTGTGAGGTCAGCGGAGAGCACAAAGCAGGGACATAGCAGATAGCACCAGCCTTTCCGCTCCTTCCCAGGCCTCTGGGAAGGCGGCAGAAAACTGTTGGCAGCAGGACCTCTGAAACACATGGGGGTTCAAATCCTGACTAGGTATGTGGCCAAGTCAATTGACTTCTCTGTGCCTCACTGGCTCTTAGGAGTAAAATGGAGATATAATAGCACTGACAAGTAAAGTGCTTATCACAAGGCCTGCCACGTGTACCAGAGCACTACTTGAATGTCAACATCATTACCATTTCCTATCATATCCTTGAACAACGAAGGGGTTGTAACAGTCTCTGAGGCACAGGCTCTCAAACTTTTTGGTCTCAGATTCCCTTTATGCTCTTAAAAATTATTGAAGACTCCAAATAACTTAAAAAAAAAACATGTATTATATCTACTGCATTTTAATGAAAATTAAAACTGAGTAAAAATTTGATCATAACCTATTTCCTAGTATTTTTAAGAAAAAATAATTTTTCCAAGTAAAAAGTATTTTACATCTTTGCAAGCAATATCTTTAATGGCTGGCTTAATTGAAGACAACTGGATTCTCTTAGCTGCTTCTGCCTTCTATTGAGCTGTGCTGTCTCAAGTATTTATAAGAAAACCCAAGCAACTCACGGACCCTTTGAAAGGGTCTCAAAGACCCCGGACCACACTTTGAGAACAGTTGCTTTAAGCTTTTATCCAACTTCATTTTTTAAATTTTGGCTGGGCTGGGTCTTTGTTGCAGCTAGTGGGCTTAGCTGCCCCAGGGCTTGTGTGATCTTTGGGATTCTTAACCACTGGACCAGGTAAGTTCCTTTTTTCCTGCTTTACATCATTCATTCATTCACCCATTCAACACTACTGGATCCCAGCGACAGAAAGAAATCGTGTGACTTGGCTGTCTTGGAGGAGACTAGATAAGAAACAGATGAAAACTAAAAATTATGCACAGCATAAGTGAGCATACGGGAAGAATTTACTGGTGGGTCTCAGAGGCAAGGGAAGGCTTGAGAGTACAAGCAGTTTGAATTTAGGCTTGGATTTCTTGTGCTCGTTTAAGCAGAGGGAAAAGCACATCCACAGGACCAGAGGCAGGAATGAAAACAGTACAACAAAGCACAGGTTTAGTTAGGTACAATTTACTCAGAAGTAGAATGCAATAATCTTTTATGTTTATAGACCTGTAAGTTGTGACAAAGGTATACAGAAAATACTATTAAAACCAAGACAATACGCCCATCACCTCAGTAAGTTCTGTGCAGCCAATGCCCAACCCTCACCTTCTCAGCTGCAGGTAACTATTAATCTGATTTCTGTTTTTAAGTTTGTTTTTTGGCCATGTCACACAGCTTGCAGGATCTCAATTCTCTGACCATGGACTGGACCTGGGCCATGGCAGTGAAAGCCTGGAATCCCAACCACTAGGCCACCAGGATATTCCCTAAGTTTTTACTTTATAAAATTAATTATACACTCACAAGAAGTTGCAGAGAGCCCATATACCCTTACCACAGCTCCATCCAATGGTAACATCTTACAAAACTACAGAACATATCAAACTAGGAAACTGACATAAGTGCAATTAACTACAGACCTTATTCTGGTTTCACCAAAGTTTATGTGCATTAACTTGCTTTAAGGAACATAACTGGGCTTCCCTGGTGGCTCAGACAGTTAAGAATCTACCTGCAATGCAGAAGATTGAGGTTCAATCCCTGGGTCAGGAAGATCCCCTGGAGAAGGGAATGGCTACTCACTCCAGTATTCTTCCCTGGGAAATCCCATGGAGAAAGGAACCTGGAGGGCTTCGGCCCACAGCGTCGCAGAGTCAGACATGACTGAGCGACTAAACACCAGGAGGTGATACAGGTGTGCTTATCTGGCACAGTACCTGTAACTTAAATTCAAGAAATAATTTCACCATTTTTCTTATTATAAAGGGAAATTTGGCTGACCACCCCAACTTGTAAGGTTACTATAATTTTTGAACATGCCTGTCATGAATGTTTTGATGTATGCACATTGCTTCCCTGGTGGCTCAGATGGTAAAGAATCCACCTGCAATGCAACAGACCCAGGTTTGATTGCTGGATCAGGAAGATCCCCTTGAGAAGTGAATGGTTACTCACTCCAGTATTCTTGTCTGGAGAATTCTATCGACAGAGGAGCCTGGTGGACTAGTCCATGGGGTCGCAAAGAGTCAGACACAACTGAGTGAGTAACACTTTCAAGGAACATGTGAGGATGTGCTAAGTCACTTCAGTCTTGTCCGACTCTCAGCGAGAGGTAAGAGGTGGGTTCTTTACCACTAGTGCCTCCTGGGAAGCCCCTAATATGGATTTAGACATGGAAGGAGAACTCAAGGAAGTGCAGGGAAAGGACTGGAGGAGACATTTCTGAAGAACAAACATCATTTGATGAACAACTTGGTAAGAACGTTAACATTAATCCTTTGGCAAATGGAGTCTCCTACATGGTAGGAGAGCAAGCAGGTTGTTTTAATTGAAGGGCTGACTCAAGTTGAACTGAGGAAATGTTTCGTCCAGTTATGAAAACCCTGAATTGATTATTAATCAATTAAATAATTAATAATCAATTAATTAAATTAATAATCATAATATTCTTGCTTACTCTTAACAAAGAGAAAAAATATATTATTTTAATCAGATTCTTCATTTTCTTACTCTTGCCTGACTGAAAACAATAACTGTCAAACATCTGATATCCCTTTCAGGTTTAGACAGTCATCTGTATGCAATCCTTAATAGGATTAGCTAAAAATTTCCCAAGCCGAAACAAACTCTTACTCCTTCCTGGAGTTCAGTTATATTTCTGTCAGCTCCCCTACCTGCTCCAGCATTTTGTCTGACTATATTATTGATAATGCCTTAATCTCTATCACTTAATATATTTACAGAAATCATTTACTTATCACAGGATTATGGGGTGTTGCTGTTTTTCCTTTTATAGGCCAAGGGTACTAAGAGTTTGGTACCTTGGATCACACACACAATACCCTAAAGTGCATAGAAAGTCACTGGCAGGAGACGATCGTCAGTTAATCTTAGCCTTGATAACTAAGCCCATTTTTTTTCCCCATGCCACAGGGCATGTGGGAGATTAGTTCCCCAACCAGGGATCGAACCATAGCCCCCAACCATAGTCCCCTGGCTTGGAAGCACGGGGTCTTAACCACTGGACCACCAGGAAATCCCTGGAAGCCCTATTCTTTCTATCCCACCAAACCCCGTTATGGCCTTGATGAACCTCTTCAAGCTGTGCGGGACTGGACTGAGGCAAAAGCTCCATACATGCATTGGAAATATTTCTGGTGACAAAGTCCTCATTTAAAGCCCTGTTTGTTTAAACCTTAGTTTGGCTGATCATTAATTACCACCAAACACACACAAGCCTTTGAGTAGAGCTGAGTGACCTAATATTTATTTCCTTGACTTTAAGATGAGCTTTTTATATTTTTGAAATGAAGACGCCTCTTAAATCAGATTTAAGAAATACGGTAACAAACTGCTTTTACTGTGTCCCCTGCTAGTTTACATACACTTTAGCTCTTAATTCACCAAATACTTGCTGTTATTATTATCATCATCTGTAATCACGCCCTTTTTTTTTTTTAAGCCCATTTTAAAGATAGGAAAAGCACAAGAAGGCTCTCATTTTCTCCAGGTAACACAGCTACTAATGGTGGAAAGGAATAACAATAATCCCAAAGCAAGGAGTACTTTAGAATCCAATTTAGGTAGACTTAGCTAAAGGACACAGTTCTGGTTTTTGCACACACGCACACACACAAAGGAATTTCAAATATAAAAGGGTAAATTAAAATAACAGTCAAAAATCAAATAAAAGACAAAGAAACGGGGACTCAGCAAGATCAATGAACTTGTCCAAGGTTATACACAGGATATCAGATCCAGAATCCATGGCAGATCTGTCTTGATTCCAAACTGCGGCTTCTTTCTACCAAACCACGCTGCCAACAAACACGTGGTAAGGGGATGCATAAATATTTGATGAATAATGCCTGAAAACGAAGTTGACAAGGATGGTGGTAAAAATATATTAGATTAAAAACGGAAAAGTAGTTCAGGAACTGAAAAAAAAAAATCACACACACCCCAATAGTTTTCAGAGCAGAGCACTCAGGCTGAGCCAAGATGCTGGAACAAACTTTGCGCGGGGGCCGCCGGACACCCGGGAGCGCAGTCTTCCACCGGGATGGTTCCCAAGGAGCCAGCCGGCCGTGGGGCACAGCAGCCAAGCCCAGCCGCCTCCCGCGCCCACGCCCTCCCCGACCGCGAGTCACCGGGCCGGGCAACGCAGGATAACGCCCGGAGGTTAGCCGCCTTTCCTGCCGGGCCGCTGGCTTAAAAAGCAACACAAACACGTGTCCCCGGCCGGTGCGCAGCCTCCCGTCGGGGTTGAGGGCACCAGGGGGCTTCCCGCGGTCGGCCCGGCGGCCAAGCGCCCGAAGGCAGGAGCCTCCCGCGGTCCCACCTCGCAGCCGGGAAGCACCTGCCGCTGCGGTCGGCCCGGCCCAACGGCGGAGCGCCTAGGGCCCGGTTCCGGGTAGGCCCCAGGCCGGGCTGGGGGCCGCGCGGGCCGGCGCCCGGGCGTTTCCTCTTCCTCCCTACGCGAGGCGCTGCGGCGCGGCGGCGGCCAAGCCGAGGCCGGGCTCGGGCGCCCGACCGCGGCCTGCCGGCGAGNGCCTGGTGCCGGAGGCGGGGCGGCAGGGCCGGCCGGAGGGTTTGCACTGTCATGGGGCGGGGGAGGGGGAGGGGAGGCGGCGGGGCCCGTTACCGGCGGGAGCCCGGTCCTCGGAACTGATACCGGACGCCGCGGCCCGGCCAGCCGGCCCCGGAGCCGCGGGGCCCCGGCGCGGCCTAGAGCTCCCGCCGTCCCGGAAGGGCCCGGCGCGGCCGCCGAGCGGGGCCGCGGACGGCGCCAGGAGACCGAGGAGCCGACCCGGGACTCGGCGGGTGAGTCCGGTCACCGGGAGACGAAGGGGAGTGCCCCTGCCTGCGAGCGACCGCGGGGCGGGCGGGAAGGCTCTGCGGCCGGGGAACGGGAAGCCCCCGTCGCCTGGAGCCCGCCCCGGCCTCGCGGCTAGGCCTCGGCACGTCCCTGGGCTCGGGTAACCCAAGTTCCCGGGGCGGATCCGGCCCGGCCGGGCGAGCAAACTCACTGCTCGGTCACTGGGTCGGAAGGGAACTCGCTCCCGGCGGGTGGCGGACCCCTTGCCCGGCATGCACGGTCTCCTGAAACCAGGTTTTAGTAAATGACCGTGGTGAGGTCTGGTAGTGGTTAGGGGGCGTTTGGGACTTTGTTTTGTGATTTTAAAACGTGGGGGCACAGTTGCAAATCAGCAGACTGTTCTAGTCCGATCCCAGGGCACAAAGAGAAAAATGTTTAGGGCCGAGGTCGAGGTGTTGAGCTGATGAAAAAATAAGTTAACTTTAATTTGCTGCCATATGGTTTAGAAAAGGGGGAGGGGGTTGTGTTTTCTTTGTTTCACTACCACAGGTCTTTAAATAAAAAGTCTTACGAGACTTGGCGGAAAAGTTTATCCTGGTAAGGTTAATGCACGATTGTAGAAGTGGCTTGAAGACATTTTGTACTCTTAATGTTAAAATCCTATATAGGTGATGTAAGAGTGGAGAAAGTTTAGTGAGTCAAATTCGTGTGTGTGCACCACAACGTTGCAAAGTTATTCTTAGGGAAATATAGGCCTTAGAATTTCAAGATGGAAAAACTCAGATTGATCAAAATTATATTTAGAGCAAGTTTCAGGATTTGAATTACTAATTATAATGTAATTTGAGATTAAATCCAAGAATATATTGTGTCCAAGGCTTCTGTATTCTAAAATCACAAAACCAATAGGAAATAGACTATTTTCTTCACTTACTGTGTACTAGTGTTGGACAGTTTGAAATAATAAGGTACATAGGCTCATAGAAATATTTAGAAGCTATGCCTATTTCCCCTCCACCCCCCCCCCTTTTTTTTTTACTTAATGGAAACATTCCTGTATTGTAATTTAAAATAAGTTTAATTAAGGTGATAATCAAATTTTAATTTGGGATGTAAAGTTTATCTTAGCCTGAAGTTGTGTGTACAGTGACCACCTTCAGGACAAAATGAAAGTGAGCAATGGCTGTAGGCTCTCTTACTCATAAGAACTGGGAGAGTTAAAGTTACAGATTTCATAGCAATGGAAGAAGGGTGTTTGAGACCCATTCTCTGCTTCAACAAACTATCTGGATAGTTGCAGACTGAGTTTTGTAATTGAATGGTGTCCTGGGAAAATTCCTTTACCCTCAGTAATCCTTTAGAGAAATTAAAACCCCACAGTGTGAACATTCTTGAATGTAGCACAAATTCTGTACTTTAAGCCTGTTTTCCCCTGTTTGGTCCTGTGGAAAGACATGTGGTCATGAGACTTACATTCACCTTTTAGTTACTTGAATATTACTGAACCCCTCAGCACAGGAATAGCACACCTTTTCTGTAACTTAGAGCATGCCAGCTGTTTCTGAAAAAGGAACATTCCTACCATACATCAGTTGAAGATTTATAGTACAGTATTTGTCAAATGATTACTTTTTAAGGGTAGCTAATAGCCTAAGGCAGGAATGACAGTCTCCTGAAGAATCACATTTAATTCATTAGATACATGGTGTGTGGAATTTTAGTTGGGGCTGCCAGTTATTTTCATTGGTTAGAATTTAACCTATCAACAAATGTAGAGATTGACTCTCGGTAGTGTCGTTCTTTTCTCATCCTTTCTTCTTTGGGCCAACTAATCCCATTTCTTTAGTGGTAGGATTTTTGAGCTCTTTTCGTCATCTGTCCACCTCCAAATTCTCTGGAGTTCCCCTTTCCTTTCAGTAGTATGACCTAGAACTGGCTGTAGTAGTCTGGGAAGAAGTCGGAACTGTGCTGCCCGCCTGTAACGTGCTTGCGTTTCAGTGCCTTCTCTATGCCAGTGCTTTGTTACTTTGTCTTTGAGCCCGCCCTAATGAGTTGCACTGTATTGTGTGTAACATGTAACTTTGGACAACAGGACCCCAAGGTGGACATCTGTCAAGCTTTAGTCTGTACCTTGCAAAGCAGTGAACTACCTCAGAGAAACAAGGTGCAACTGGAAGCACAGAGACTGTTCTAGGCATGTTCTAGGGGTCAGCATGCTTTTTTTCTGTGAAGGGCTGGGGAGTAAATATCATAGGCTTGGCACGCCTATGCCCCCTCTGCCGTTGTAGTGTAAAAGTAGACAACATGTAATGAAATGAGCACAGCCATGTTCCAATGAAAACTTTTTGGGACTGACGTTGAATTTCATATAATTTTTATGATTCTTTGTTTTTACCATTTAAAAATGTAAAAACCATTCTTAGCTTGAGGGCTGCACAAACACTGGAGGTGGCCACATTTGGCCCGTTTTGGCCTGCAGGCTATCATTTGCCTGCTTTAGCTCTAGACTTTAGTTTTAGAGTTGATTGAACTGGAATTGTCGAGAGTCCAGAAAGGGCCCACTCTGCTTGGTATTCATTCCATCATTTTCTTTGGGGTATGGGGAGTGAGTCCATGGTCTGAGCCAGTTCTGTACCTGTTTCCAGCAGCACTATATAGATTGTGATCAGAGTTATTGTTCATGTGGCAGGAGAAACAGACTGCCCACTCACCTTTCCAGACACTGTCGGAGTGGAGTTGGTGGTACTCTACATTGTCTCCTGCTTGCCAGTCTTTACTTTCACAACCAGAATTCCAGGGCCTTTTAAAATTCACTTTGTAATGCTCTTGTCACATCAACAAACATTTTACAATGTCAGTTCCTAGTCACTTTATGTTCAACCTACAGCACCATCTAGTTCCATGTTATATACAGTGAAACCCATCATTTTCTATTTCATTGGTAGAAGTTTGTTTTTTTTTTTAATGTTTCACTACATGCTTTCTTCTTAAATACATTTAGAGTATAAATGTTATTTAGAGCTTAAAATCCATTTAATAGCTTTGCAAATGTTTTTAAGAACATATCAAATTACTCTGCTTATTAGCTAAAATGAAATTATAAATGTTCTTGCATGAGTTGGAGCCTAATTGATTACCTAGTTAGGAATATGTTTTATTACCTTAAATCATTCACCCTTTTTTCATTTGCTACTATGTATAAGGCCCTGAGATAGGTACCAAGGATGAATGAAGCAGAGACAGCTCCTTACCTTAAGTCTGGTGGGGAAGATGGAAGATGCATGTGTGCACAGCTTCTCAGCACAGTGTGAGACATGCCATAAGGAAGGGATAAACAAATTGATGACAATGTAATTACCAACTTTTTTCTTACTATTTTTGCCCAATTTCAGAGAGGGAATCTATTGTGATTTCTAACTCCTTTTCTTGAGTGCCTCCTAGCTTCATTTTGGATAAAATCATCTGAGCTTTCAAATAGAGCTCCTATTTGAACTGATCTCTACTTGATTTATATTTCCCCTAAGTTTTTGAAGATTTCCATATGTAAGCAATGACAGTGAATACATGGACGAGTGATCCTAACATGTTATTCTCAAAAGCATCTGAGACTATTTTCAAAATGTTAAGTACAGCAGTACTTACTCTGTCATTACTCTGGTTCTTGAAAGGTGTACCATTTTTTGAAGTTGTATCACTTTTTTGTTAGATTTCTATTCTCTACAAGTGCTATCTAATGCTATAAATGAACATGCAGACAGTCCCAGCGGGGATTGCAATAATTTTGTTTTCAGAATTTAGGGACTGGAAAGCCAGGATAGGCATTTAGCATAGGATTTTTAACGTGGTGACTTTTGCCTTCCTATGGCAAAGTAAATTCACTACCATTGAAAAGTTCTTTGCTATCATGTCGGACAACTTACTTCACTAAGTGATCTGTTAAAAAGATTATGACGTTCTTACTTGACTTTAAATTTCAGTGAATCATTTATTACATTTACTTTGACTTTCAATAAAGGATAGAACATAAATATTTTAATTTCTGGAGTCTTTGATTCCATGATTTTGTATAAAGTTGATTTTGAAGTCCATTCTCCTCATTTGTTGACATCCATGTGTAAGTTAAAATATAGCAAAATATAACTTCCTTGTTTTATATTAGAAATTTAATTTGAAAGGAATTTCCGTTAGTCTTAGAACTTTAAGCATTTATTAACAGCAGTCTTGTTTAAAGATTGAGAACTTTTTCACTGTGAAAATTAGGAAGCTTCTGATGTGAAGTGACCTTCACATTAGGTTTGCAACATTTCAAAAAAGAAATCCATGTCCTTATGAGTCATAACTTAATTTTCAAAACATCAGCTTCATAACATCTAACATATATATCTGCTGAGGTTTGGAGTTTTTTAGAGCGGAGTTTCCAAAAATTGTTTTTAGTAAAGATTAAGGTATCATTTAGGATATATTATCCTAAAAATAGTATGTTTTTAATTTCATTATAAGCACTGCTGTGGGGCTTCTTTCATGAATACGGAAAAATTGCCTACCCTTCATATTCATAAAATTTAAAAGTAGTGCCATTAGTAATTAAAATCTTTGTTGGTGAAAGTTTAATTTCACATTAATTTTAGTACTGTGCTAGGAGCCATGATGTTTTTCATTTCCTTAAAATAGTATGGTATACTTTTTAGCCACTGATAGACAGTCCGTGGGGTTGCAAAGAGTCGGACATGATTGAGCAACTAACACACATACTTTTTAGCCACTAAAGTTATTCATTACAATTGAGGAAAAAACCCATAAGAGATATATAGATCAGAGCATTTTTTAAAATGTCGTAATTTTTATATATTATGTGTCCTGATTGATGATGGAGATGTTGGATAAGGCAGACGGTTTCCAGAGGAACACATCACCTATGTTCCACGGGAAGGAAGTGAGTATTTTGTGTGAAAAGAGGGTTTGGGCAAGGGTGAGGACAGGAGACGAGGAGAGTGATGGCAGAAGA